AATTTAAAGGGCCTTTACAGGATTTGAATGGCGCCGTTGATGTGAGGATTTCACCGTAGCTGATTTGGTACGTGATATCTTCAGACACCACTGGTCGTACCACGTTTTGACGTGGTTGAGTGCACGTTGCAGGATGAGCTTCAAACGATCGGCGCTAGGGTGCCTATATCGCATCTCCAGCTCGTTGGCGTATAATAAATGTTTCATGCCGAAAGATGCCCCGTGAATATTTTTGAGAAGACAATTGATCATTATAAGAAACATGGTAACTCCAATGCTTTTAACTTGAAGGCAGCTCTGGCGTTTTTATGACGATAGCGTCGTTATATTCTTTCCAGGTTGTAAACAACCATTCTCGTCTTTCCGTTCTCAATGCACCTATCAAAGTTTGGAAGCACGTAGATTTTCCCATTTGGTACTTAGTAAACCAACCTAAGCACCATAAATTTGGTAGTACAGGCTTTGCAGAGGTGTGTAGCAGTAAATAAACTATCGCTGCAGTTGACACGTAACAACGTCTGCGCATGCGCGACATTGGATCAACAAAAACGTCGTTGACAACTATAGCGCACCGCTTCGTATTACGGCGGTATGTGGCAGTTCTCTATAAAATACGTGTTGCGCGGTTGAGCTATAGTTAGCTTGTAGGTATTGCCGAAATATCTGCCTGAGACAAGTCGTACGAGGAGGAAGTTTCTGCCAACTTTTTGGTCATAAGCTAAATAATTACAAATTTGGTAAGCCGTACTCATAGTCACGGTACTTGCGGCGACGTGTCCGTTCGCTGACTGTCGACTCATCATGAGTTATTGCCGAGTATTGGCGTAATGTAGGTGGTCATTAAATTGCATCAGGTTATTTCTCCAGCCATTCTATCTGCAGTATTTATGGTGTGCAATGTTACTTGTATTAGTGCTGCCATGATTTCAATTAATTGCCTCCCACTTTTTGACAGCCACACAGTAAGGATATAATGATAAGTTTGAGTGGCAAGAGCCATGATAACTGTAAATTTAAGGCCTTTTTCTCCCTCAACCCCTTTAGTCCTTAAGCTGTCTGTTGAGTATTGTTAGTGCCAGCTGTCAAAAGTAGGTGAGGAGCAGCATTATGGCCTGGGGCATGGGTGTGTAAGCAGGAATTAAATACAGTGCTGGAGCTGAGTGCCTTTTGTTTGTGTGTTCTTGTCTTATCACATTGATTATTTGTGCTTATCCTTTTATATTGCTCTGCTGTGGAAGATGAGTTTGTTTTAGCACAAACTTTGCCATTTTACTGTGTGTTTCCCATAACACTGAAGAGAGTCAAGTAGCTCTGCAGGATTTGTGCAGATCCAAAATCTCTCTTTACAACCTCAAAAACACTGGCTCCTTGGAAGAAGAGCCCACAGTGAAAAAGGCATGCTTTTACTGTGGAGTTAATTAGCTAGAGCTGGTGGATTGGTTGTGAATTGTGGGAGAATTGGATGCTGATAAGATATGCATAGCTGGTCTAGGCTCCTAGCTCTGAGGCATGCCTCAGTGTCATGATTTTACTTATTGTCTTTGACATCAGCTGTTTAGCATTGGCAGTGGTTGACATTTTTGGTGGATATCAAGGAAGCAAAGACGATTGATTTTGCAAGGCGTAACATGAAAGTTGATGGTCTTTCTTTGAAAGATTTGCTGTGGATAAATTTCAATGCAATATTTAGAAGCTCTAGGGTTTGACTGTCTACAATAAAGATGGGTTAATGCCTTAATGACATACTGGTGGCTCTTCCACTGATGGTAGGTCTATTTCATAGATGCATCAGGGTTTGTTGGCAATCATTTTCATTTTAACCCTGTCATATGCCTGCCCAAATTGAATTTTAGTGCATATAATGTTTGTCATATATCAGTATATGCAATATTTATCATATAGTGCATTTGATGCATTCATGTTTATTGGGTTTTAGTGTGTTTATCAAATTATGTAGCAAAGCTTGAGTGTTGGTTTTGTTTACAACATGCAAATATTGATAAAATATGATAAGATGATACAATAAAGATACTTTAAGTAGAGTAAAGGTAGTTTAGCAGTGACTTATTTGCCAAGATATTATCAAGCAGGTTGGTGACAAAATTTTGGACTTGGCCACACTTGTAGCAACTGCCCAGTTTGTGACCCAGAATGGTGTGATCCACCATTAAGTGGTTATTGCCTCTAAGGTGTAGGCACCATTATGGGAATGATGTTAAGCCATGTTTCAGTGTTTGTCTCCTATGCCTTGCAAGATGGCCTGGCTGTGACATATATTAATGCTGTCAAATCAGCCAAAATATAAAACTGTCCATCATGTTTTCAAAATAATCAATTATGACAACCACAGCATGTTTTTTGAAAGCTATGGCATGAAAAGCCTTTTGTTTTTCAAATACTCCTTTAGCGGCCACCACTAGGCTTATGCGCAGCCTACTGTGATTTAGTTCTCACGTAATCTGTAAAGCATCAGAGATCCTGCATTTTGTGCAGTATTAGTTAAGAGGCATGATTTTGAGCATTTAGTTATTGGCCTCCTCCCCAACAAAGCTGCATGATTGGTTTCATGAAAGTCAGTTTATTTGCCTTTTAAAACACATTGGTCCATAAATCAGCTGTGAATCGACCAGCTTTGTGTGGTGGTGAGTTTTCAGATGTGTCCGAAACAGTTTAGAGAAATTATAGTTTTTACACCTGGCAGATATCATAGCAGCACAGTTTCATTCCATAAAAGCAGCAGCAGACCAATTTATAGTGTTAGGCTTCAGTTCTCCTGGCCCTGGCAATGTGGCACTTCTCAGAGGAAAGCCCATTTTACCCTTCACTGTCTACTGCATGCAGACTTGTAGACCCATCAGTTCAGCTCAGCTTCTTTGCTCATCCATTTTCTTCACTTTCTTTCCTACAAGAAAAGCTCAACTCTCCTCCCAGGTGGTGGTGCTGATGGATCTGGCAGTCAAGAGATGGCTTAACTGAATATGTGATATAATTAATACATAATAAGTGTAGACTATATCATGATAATATAATATAGAATAATATAATGTAGAATAATATAATACCTAATAAATAATTTATTATAGAGGAGGCCAACCAGACCTCATGGTGGGTTGTGGCTAGACTAAAGTTATGTAATTACCAGAGGGTGGTTCAAACAAATGACCTCTTAGCATCAACAGCAGGCTCAACAGGTTGAGTTGAGGCAGCAGGCAGCTGTGTCCTCTCTGCTGGCTGGTGAAGATGGTGTGTTGGCTTCCAGTGGGACCAGCAACCAGAAACTAACCTTACCCAAGGTTACTGGGTTCAGAAAACCAGCAACAAGTCTCTCCTAAGGTGTACCAAAAAAAGAATGCTGGGGCTGTAGAGCATTCAGTATGAATGCATTTGTAGAAGAGGAAACAAGGAAATCATTTCACAAATGAGAACTGGCCCTTCAGACCACTGCTGTCACTATCTCAAACTTTTCAGACTAAACTAAGTGTATCTTAATTTATGACATTTAAGTTCTTGATATAGCTTGATAATCATCTGCATGCTTTTCATGGCAGGTCCTATACATCTTGCATACTTGACATTGACTGCATACCCCCTGAAAGCTTGACACCTGCCTCAGGTGTGGCTGATGTGTAGGCAGTGCACCAGCCTGTGTGGACGGCTGGCGGCACCATGGCCCGATGTGAGCCCGTGTGTGGACGGCTGGCGGAACCATAGCCCAGTGTGAGCCTGTGTGTGGACGGGTGGCGGCACCATGGCCCAGTGTGTGCCCGTTTGTGGACGGCTGGCGGTACCATGGCCTGGTGTGGGCCCGTGTGTGGACGGCTGACGGCATCATGGCCCAGTGTGAGCCCGTATGTGGACGGCTGGCGGCACCATGGCCCAGTGTGAGCCTGTGTGTGGACGGGTGGCGGCACCATGGCCCGGTGTGAACCCGTGTGGGGACGGCTGGCGGCACCATGGCCCAGTGTGAGCCCGTGTGTGAACGCTGGAGCTGTGCCGTGACCGTCCCTCCTGTCCGCCAGTGGTGAGAGATGCAGCCGGCACCCGTCCGTCCGCCAGGCCCCGCCGCCGCCGCCGCCGCCCGCGCCGCTGCCGGGCGCGCCCTCCCGCGCCCCGTCACCCGCCCGCGTCACGGTGAGACCGGCGCGCCGGCCGGCCGGCGGCTCTCGTGCAGGCGAGGCGGACCTGTGCGGCTGTGACGGAGCTATCGCGTCTTATCTGCGTCGCGTCGTTTCGCCGTGCGTGGGTGTGCCCCCAGTTGTTTTGGTCGCGCAGTCCGCGTGGTCGCGCCCCCTGACCAAGGTCGACCGTGTCCCGAGCAAGCAGGGCAAAGGAACGTGGCCGCCACACCATATCGTTCGAGACTGGCATGCGGTCTAATATATTGCCCCATTCGGTGTGCAGACTGGGGTTACGTTACGTGTATTGTCCCAAAGTGCAGGCCATGGGGGCGACGGGGATCCTTGTCTACATAATTGACCGCGTTTGATAACCACTCTTGGTATAGATGACTGAGCATGAATGGCCATGTAACGTAGAGAAATAATAAGAAATACCTGTGTCACTAATGTTACCGATGTCAGGCAAAAAGATTGCGAGCGTGATGCTGTCTTTGCTCCCTGCGTCCCCCCGGTTCCCTGTAGTCCTCGTGACGGTTTCCTCGCCTGAGTGAGACATTGGCGGCGCGCGCGCGCGCGCGCGCGACTCGTATCCTGGCCGTGGAGCGTCAGCCGGCGCTGGCCGCCACTCACCTCCGCCGTTCATCTGCGGTGTTACAGCCGGCGCGCCGCGCGGCCCGCCGCCGCCTCTGCCGGGCGGCTGGGCGCCCCCGACACCGCGGTCGGCCGGGCCGCCGGCCACGCCCGGCGCTGTCCGGCCGCCGCCGCCGCCGGCAGCGTCCACCCCCGGCGCGCCGCTCCGTATGCCGTCTGGGCCGGCGCCGGCGCCGCTGGGTGCGCGGCCGCCGCTGCCGCCGGCGGCCGGGCCCCCAGTTCCGCCCGGTGGCCGGCATGCCACCCTCCAGCTGGGCGGGCGTCGTGCAGCCTCGACCCAGCGGCGGTGAGTGTCAGCCCGCCGCCGCCGCCGCTCGCTCGAGGCCAGAGCCGCACCCGGCGCACAGGGGCTGGGCTGGCCCACCGCCTGCGGTGTCGGCGTGACTTGTGGTGCAGTGGTGAATTTGGGGATACCTTTTTATTTGTGGTACTCTGAGCTTGGTCGCTGGAACCAGAATATGTCAGGTGCACCGGAGTACTTAATGTGTCCCCGCATACCATGCTTAACGTGTACCGGTGTACCACGCGTGTTCCATTTGATTTAGCTCGGACGTACTGCTAGACTTGAAGGCCACTGTTATGAACTCTTGCAATACCTTCAGGTGTACCGATGACATTTGACACCTTGTGTGCGTCATCCGAAAACCAAGAGGCCACGGCAGCCTGGAGTTTCTCATCATCGCTGTCACTGGGCGGGTGATCTCGCATTCGCTTCCTGGGACAAAGGACATGTTTGTGCTACGCAGCACTATAACGATGATTAAGCTGATGATGATGATCCACTTCTAAGCTATGTAAGCGAATAGCCCTGTTGGTGATGAACATCTTACGAGCCGCCGGCTTGTGTTGCTCACAGCGGGCACTGCGCCGCGTCCCCCTGCCACGGCTGGTGCCGGTGCTGCCATCTCTGGGGGACCAGGCATACCTTCGATGCCGGGAGCGCCGCCGGGCATCGCTGGCGTCAACACGCCGATGCGCTCGCCAGCTGGTAAGTTCTATATGCTCTGCTCGTTTCCGCCGGGCTATGGGTGCGGATTGGTGTGTTGGGGTGCTCCCAGAGGCGCGTGCTTGAGTAAGGACGTGTGCACCCGCGTGGTAGGGTGATGGTGGACGGATCGTGGAGTCCATGGATAGCAGGCTCAACACAGCGGTGGTCGGCACGGTGCGTGGCTGTCGTGTTCGGGCAGCCTTTTACAAACTGTGGATGTTTTCATGTTGCAGAGCCTTTATTGGTGAATGGACGCACTTATTGTTTTGTAATGGCAGCATTGTTAGAAAGGTTATGTCATCTTTCTGCAGCGGAGGTTATTGCATATCCCAGCAAATCTTTTGTCCAAATGTGATTGACCAACGGGCGCAATCTGACCAATGAATTCGTCGAAGAGTCCCGCCGTGAAATCGTATTCGTCGAGGCATCACTTGCATCACTAGGGGGCCTGCAAATGGGCTCACTCGCGACGCGAGAACGGTCGGAAGCATGACCTGGAGCCAGGAAGGCCGGCGCGCCCGATCTTCCCGAGAGATTGAGCCGTCACGCCGCCGGTCGTGCCTGGGCGGCGCCGGTCGTGTGCTGGAGCGCACTGCAGACGGGCGCGCGCCGGCGGCCGCGGCTGGCTCCGCCCGCCTGCCGCGGCTCCGCGCGCCGGCGGCGGCTGCCCCCGCTGACTGGGGACGCGCGTGCCGCAGGGACTACGGCTGCAGCTGGCGGCGGCGGCGGCCGGTCCGGTGCGGCCACCCGCCGTCACTCCCGACGACTCCGGTACACAGCCTCTCCCGGCCCTTATGTTGTCCGCACGGGCACACAGTCGCACGTAATCCGCACTGGCACACTGCCGCCCGGCTCGGCCCGCACGTGTTCGGCACTGGCACACGGCGGCCCGGCCCGGCCCGCACGTGTTCGGCACTGGCACACGGCCGCCCGGCCCGGCTCGCACGTGTTCGGCACTGGCGCACGGCCACCTGGCTTGGCTCGCACGTGTTCGGCACCGGCACACACAGCCGCGCGGCTTGGTCCGCACGTGTTCGGCACTGGCACACAGTCGCCCGGCCCGGCCCGTGCGTGGTCGGTACTGGCACACGACCGCCGCACGTAGTCCGCACCGGCACACGCAGTCGCCGTGCCCGGTCCATACGTGGTCCGCACCGGCAGACGACCGTTGCACGTGGTCCGCACACACGACCGACGGTCCCGTCCATGCGTACCTTAGCGTGTGTGTGTGTGTGTGTGTGTGCGTAGCACACGTGGCACGCACGGTCTCTTGACATGGCACCTACGCCGGCAGGCGGGTACTGGATGGTGCACGTGTTCACACGCTCGCCCGTTTCGACCGGCACCGGCCGACCGGGATAAGGAAACTTGCGCGCATGACCTCGTGTGACAGAACCGAATTTGGAATGAGCGGCGGTGCTGGACTGCCGCCAACCGTTTTGGCTGTGTGCCATGAGCAGCGACAGGTGCTCACGCGTCTCCCGTGAGCAGCGACAGGTGCTTACGCGTCTGCCGTGAGCAACAGCAGGTGTGCACGCCGCTCCTGAAAGCAGCGACAAGTGTTCACGCGTCTCCTCTGAGCAGCGACAGGTGTTCACGCCTCTCTCGTGAGCAGCGACAGGTGCTCACGCGCCTCCACTGAGTAGCAATAGGTGTTCATGCCTCTCTCGTGAGCAGAGACGGGTGCTCACGCGCCTTCTCTGAGCAGCGACAGGTGCTCACGCGTCTTCTCTGGGCAGTGGCAGGTGCTCACGCGTCTCCTGTGAGCAGTGAGTAGCAGGTGTGTCGGCGGCTGTGTACCGAGCCAGCCGTTGATGTTCGTGTCTGTCGGCGCAGGCGCGTCCTCGGCCCGCTCGTCCCGGGGGCCCACGCCCATCGCTACCCCTCGGCTCGACTTCATGGAGGGACAGCCGGTCGGACTTTGTACGTGGCCACGAGGAGCGACCGCTCGCACGCGCACGCGCACGCGTACGCGTACGCGTACGCACACCGATGTGAAGCATCCTCACGCATGGTGTTCCGCTCGTGGTGGCTCAGTTTGGCCTTGGTCCACTCGCCTGTGTCGTGTCGTCAGCACAGTCTAGATGTGACTCGACTCCTTCGTCGCTGTCTTGTCGTCGCCCGGGGTCTCGCATTCCAGCACCTCCGTAGTTGCGGTTCCGTTGTCGCGCTCGGGTCACAGCACAGTCGGGTGGTCTGTCCTCGCGCTCAGTCTCTCAGTCTCTCAGACTCAGTCTCTCAGTCAATGTTAGTCTCCGCCCGTCGCCGCCCGAGCGCCGCTGCGGTGGACGGCTGCCCGTGCCGCGGCTCGGTCGGCTCCGCCCTCGCTGGGAGGCCAGCCCGGCCGGCCGCGGCGCGAGCGGCCCACTTACACCCCGGCGGCGCGGCACACACGTGCGCCGCCAGCTGGCGCGGTCGGTCGCGGCCGGGCCTGTCCGCCGGTCCGAGCCGGCCACACCGCCGCCGGCTCGTCCGGTTCGACATACTTGTCTCGCATGTATCCTGTGCCCAGTTGGGGTGGTGTTTGCCGCGTGCGCTTTGTGATGCGTACAGCACCCGGTTGAGTTGGGTCTGTGCCGGACTCCGACCTGATGTTGCCGGGCTCCGACTTGATGTAGCTGGAATCCAATGAAGCTCTGTCGGAATCCGACCTGATGTTGCCGGGCTCCGATGTAGCTTTGCCGGACTCCGACCTGACGTTGCCGGACTCCGATGAAGCTTTGTTGGACTCCGACCTGATGTAGCTGGACTCCGATGAAGCTTTGTGGTACTCCGCCCTGATGTAGCTGGACTCCGATGAAGCTTTGTTGAACTCCGCCCTGATGTAGCTGGACTCCTATGCAGCTTTGTTGGACTACGACCTGATGTATAGCACACAGAGGCTGCCAGCGCGTGGTCTCGGCACTCCCATAGCCACTGGCGTCGAGCTGACGTCACCGCTACTCACTGGTCACATTCCCTCCTTCCTCTGCTTTCAGCACCGACCAGCTCGTACGCCAGCCTGGCTGCCGGCCGGCCGGCGGTGCCCGGCTCGGTCTCGCCGCAGCCGCCGCCGTCCCGCCCCGCCGCGCCGCCTATTGGCCAACCGGCGGCCGCGCCGCCCAGAATGGCTCCTCCCCCCGTTGCTGGCGGCCAATCCGGAGCCGGCCCTCAGATGACGGCCCCTCCGATGACTGGTGGAATTCAGCCAGGCTTTGCGCCGCCCAGGCCAGGACCCCCTTTTGGTGGTGTCGGCCAGTCGGGAATGGGTCCCCCGATGATGGCTCCTCCCATGGGCGGTATGAGGCAGCCAGGATCTGCACCTCCGATGATGGGACTACCTATGGGCGGAATGAGCCAAGCTGGATCAGCGTCTCCAATGATGGCCCCAGTCATGGGTAGCGTGAGCCAGACCGGATCAACGCCTGCAATGATGGCTCCGCCCATGGGTAATGCCAGCCAATCAGGATCGGCAGCACCGATTATGGCTCCGCCCATGGGCGGGGTCAGCCAATCAGGATCGGCGCCACCGATGATGGCTCCGCCCATGGGCGGTGTCAGCCAGTCGGGATCGGCGCCACCGATGATGGCTCCGCCCATGGGCGGTGTGAGCCAGTCAGGATCGGCGCCACCGATGATGGCTCCGCCCATGGGCAATGCCAGCCAATCAGCGCCTCCACCGATGTATAACGGGTCAATGAACGGAGGTCTAGCTGCAACGGGAGCTGCCACATTGTCAGCACAGAGAAGATACCCGCAGCAGGTCAGTTTACCTCCGTGATGTCGGTCATGCGTTTCTTTTGTAGGACTCGAGTCTTGGAATTGGCCGGTTTACATTGAGTGCAATGTGATTTGGATATCTTGCCAATTTGTCTCGGAGCACGTGTCAAACTTCCCCTTTTCTGAGGGCGGATAGGACCAAACATCATGCATTTGTGTCACTTGACAATCGGGCCACTCGGGTGGCATAGTGAGTGGATGCCTTGAGCTTGGGTCGTCCGTGCAGGCCGCGGCCACTCCGACCGCCACCGAACGGCGGCCGCGCATGTACGTGGCCATGACTGTGCTCTGGTGTGCCGCAGCCGCAGTACGGCGCGCCGCCGCCGCCGCCGCCGCCGCTGCCACACCAGCAGCAACAGAACGGCGGCGGCCTGGCCGGCAGCATGGCGCAGATGTCGCTGCAGCCGCAGCCGCAGGCGCAGCGGCCGGCGGCGCAGAACGTGCTGACGGCGGGCTTCAACCGCATCTGGGGCACCGAGTCCGTCGACCTGATGCAGGTCAGCAACGCCACCTGCCGCGGTGGCGGTCATGGCGTGTTGTGCTTACCTCGGCTCCGGCGCCGACTCCGCAGAGGTCCTGCAGCATACGACTCGGTGCGACGCACGTCGGCCAGGCAGCCATCAAACGTAGCGGTCCGCTGTGGTTGCGGTGCTGGCTATGTTTCATCGGCTGTGTGATGCTAGGTGTGCCCCCATCTACTGTGTGATGCTGCCTTTGCTGGCGTCGGCTTTTGTATGGTACTTACTCTTTTTTATTGCTACCGTATTGCGTTGTATATTTCGAACCGCATCCAAGTCCATGGCTCTCTCGAGCTCGGTGGGCGTCATTGCAGGAAACGCATGCATTCAAAATCCTCACCCAAATACAAGTACACTTGGCATAGCGGAACAAACATATGTATATAATTTTGGCTCCAGAATTACACTAGGCCGGCCGGAAGCGTCGTTGAAATCCTTCTTTAAGTGCTTACACTTG